ATTATATAATTCATTTAATTGAATTTATTTAATTTGACTATCTAGATTAGCCCTTTAGTACTATTTGTGCTCTATCTCTATGTCATTATTCTTGAGAGAGAGAGAGAGAGAGAGAGAGAGAGAGAGAGAGAGAGAGAGAGAGAGAGATGGCCACCTTCTTCTTTGGTATCATCAACAGTTTTTTTGTTTAAAAATAATCTAAATTTGTTGTTTAAAAAAAAAAAAAAAAGGTGGCAAGTGGGACCAACAAATGTGACAATTCTATTGGAAGAATCCTCAAAAGGGGTAAAATGATTGGGACAAGCAGCTTCGTGGGCACGTCGTTGACTTGTGCATTGTCGGCACCTTGTGGAAGGCCTAAATGATACTATCTATGGACTTGATTATAATTGGAACTTAATGGGAAAGTATTATCCAGGAACTAATTAACAATTGAAACTTAAACAAGAAGTATTTTTACTCAAAAAGTTGTTTGAAAATTAATTAATTTTAGTCCTTACGAACTAATTTTTTTTTTTTTTTTCAGGAAATAAAAGCAAATGAAACCTATAAAAGTTGTTATTCTCTAATCCACTTGAAACCCAAAATATCAAGCAAGGTGGAGAATGTTGGATGTTATGCTCGACATTTGTTGGAGCCCAATGATGCAGCCCAAAAAGGAGTGGCCCTTTTAACTGAATGTGACCTGGCAAGTGGGACCAACAAATGTGACAATTCTATTGGAAGAATCCTCAAAAGGGGTAAAATGATTGGGACAAGCAGCTTCGTGGGCACGTCGTTGACTTGTGCATTGTCGGCACCTTGTGGAAGGCCTAAATGATACTATCTATGGACTTGATTATAATTGGAACTTAATGGGAAAGTATTATCCAGGAACTAATTAACAATTGAAACTTAAACAAGAAGTATTTTTACTCAAAAAGTTGTTTGAAAATTAATTAATTTTAGTCCTTACGAACTAATTTTTTTTTTTTTTTTCAATCAGAACTTTACAATAATATAGAGTGTTGATCATTGACTTACATGATATTGTTTGACTATATTTACAAGTGAACTTCTAATGGCAGGTTGTATGTACACAATTAGAATTCAAGACGGTCCTTCGAACGTATAAAGATAGAAATTACGTAACATGAAAGATTTTATATAGAAAAAAATCATGTATATTAGTGAACGCATTAGTTAATGAATTTAGAAATTGTGCTGTGAAAGATATCCATGAAAGACCTATTACGGAGAGATTATTAGATAGGGAAGTTACTCAATATCCCTAATTTTACCTAAACCATGAAAAATAAAAGTGCTACTAGGTGAAGCAACAAGAGTGCTCCAACTTAGATGGTGAATTCTAATAGTTGAAAGCATAATTGGTTTATGCTTTGTACGTAATGGGTTATGCTACAAGTACCAAATAGTTTACCGAATCGACAAGTGACGACCCACAGCCGCACTTCCAATAGGGGGCCGGTACTTATCAATTCGGTAAACCATTAAATAATCTATTTGGTACAAATAGATTAATTCGTACGTAATAGCATGGGACACGAGATCTCATGTGATAATGACCACTTTGTAAGGTTGAATAATCTTGGATGATTGTAGGGCCAATCCTGTGATTGTCGGGGTCCGAGACGAAATCCAAGAATTAGGCCCCCAAAATTAACGTAAATACAAAATTCAACGATATATTATGCAATATATTGCTAATTTAAAACTTAAGATTAAAACAACAAATAAATATCTCAATCATCTCACAATTAATGAAAAAACTATTTTTGTTTTCCTTTTCTTTCTTTTAATATTAATAAAAAAAACTTTGGGCCAAAATAGGCCCTTTGTGGTTTTGGGCCTGTGCCCAGGATCGGCTTTGGATGATTGATGGCGAAGTAGTGTCCTCAAGGAAGAATGAAAAGAATCGAAAAGGAGAGTGAAACAAAACAAGAAATTGTTATCTCCTTAACAATGAGATGGGTTAGATCTCTGATCACGTGTCTGTTGAAGAATAAGTTGATTATGACGATGAAAGTGATAAAATAATACTAGGACAATATTTTATACACTTTAATTAGAGATAGAACTGAGTATATCTCCATGAGCATTTCTATTCACAATCATTCATTGTTATATAAAGTTTATTCTGAATAATTTAGGTAAATTTCTTTGAAAACTATAATGTCCAAGTTCAAAAAACGAAAACATTTCTAACGGATAGTTTTAGAGGATGATTTTTAAGACCAAAAAGAATAATTGAAGTCTCAACTTTTAACGGTGGACTAACAACATATAGATAAAACAACAACCAAAAATCAATTCCTAAAACCACTGATTGTCTAAACAAAATGTTTGACAAAAAAAAAAAATTTGACCCCCGAGACATAGCCCAGTAGTGCAAAGGACAGGAGTGAGGTTTCTCACACCTTGCTGGTAGTCGTAATGTGAGGATTCGATTCTTGAGATATTGAATTGAACTCTTTGTAGGCGCAGTATACAGACAACTCTTGTTTCCTGGCCTATTGGAGCACATCTCGCGATTTATCTCACTTACAAAACTCTAGGGACGGTGCCGTGGGGACCCTCAAGGTTAGAGTTCAACCTTTAAAATATTTGAAAAAAAATTCAGATTTATTATTTTTGGACCCAACTGCCACGTGTTTACTAAAAGGGGTACAATTAATTCTATGGTTCACAAAATATTGAGATTTTAAGTCTGAAGGATAGCTAACCCATAAGGCTAACTTCTCAACTTGAATCACCCAAATATTTCGTCTACACAAGTCTCGGTGAAATTTCGAAAAATATGGCAAAAACTGGAAAATAATAATAATAATAATAATAATAATAATAATAAAAATAATAATAATAGGAGATTTATATCAAAAGATCGATATATGTAAAAATGTCCTTAAAATATAAATTATCAAACATGGTCATAAAAGTGGTTTTTAAATTAATTTAAGGAGTCTTCCAAAGTGGAATGCACCACTCAACGTCCACCATCCAAATGATCCTTCAATCTGTAAATTTAAAAAAGTTGACAAAATAAATATTTCGAAAATACTTAGTAATATATGCCCAGGTTTAATTCGTGTAGTAACACCGTGACATAATATTTCATACCATTTTAGTATCGAGTAACACAAGGAAGAAAGATTCAACTCGTATCTTAAGAAAGTCAATCATAGAAAACCAACCTTTTATCATATCTTGGAACTGTAGGTTACGGTATGCAGGGCCGGTCCTGGGCACAGGCAAATAAGGCCTGAAAACCACAAAGGGCCTATTTTGGCCCAAAGTTTTTTTTTTTTTTTTTAATATTAAAAGAAGGAAAAGGAAAAGAAAAATAGTTTTTTCATTAGTTGTGAGATGATTGAGATATTTGTTTGTTGTTTTAATCTTAAGTTTTAAGTTAACAATATGTTACATAATATATCGTTGAATTTTACATTTACGTTAATTTTGGGAGACCTAATTTTTGGACTTCGTGTTGGAATTGGTTCAAAAATTAACCGAAAATTGGTTAAGTTTAAAACTGGAAAAAGAAAAGATGTGACTTCGTGTCAACTTCGATCGAATGTTAGGATTTGATCCGATAGTCAAATTATAAAAGTAAAAATAGACCCAACTTATTCTACTTGTCGAGTAGATCGTCATGGTATATTTGGAATCTCGAACCAATTCCAAATGAATGAGAAATTGAGGTCCAAAGTTGGAAGAATGAAGTGTTGCAACTTTTTGAAAGAATGCATGTTTAAAATGAAGTGCTGCAACTTTTTGAAATGAAGTATTGCAACTTTCCATGAAAAATGTTGGATTTGGGGTGTGTCCTTCACTCACAACTCTTCATCTTCTATATATAGGACCCTTGAATGTGTATTTGTTATTCTAATTCATTCCATAATTTCATATTATTCATTTCATATTAAGTTATATAAAACATTTTGTAGAAGTGATTATCTTTTGCATCAAAATATTGTTATGGTAGAGAGGAAATTTCGTTCGAATTCGTTGGTCAAAGTCATTTGGAGTGCTTCTATGACTTGATGTAGTCGTTGTATCTTGGGAGATGATTGTCGAAAAATCGTTAGTACCGATGCGAACTTTTTGTTAGATTGAAGTAAACAAAATTACAAGAAAAGCTCAAATTGGGGTTGGGTCTTGGACTTTTGGTTGGGAGTGGGGTAGGTTAAATATAAAAGAGTAATGCTATTTAGTCTCGTTGAAATTATAATCCCAACTTAGGTGATGTCAGTATCGCATTAAATGATAGGTAAAATTAAATAAATCATTTAATTTCACATTTCATTTGATAAATCATCTAACGTCACTAGACTGAGATTTAATGTCATGTTAAATGATAGGTAAAATTAAATAAGTTCACCTTTTTCATTTGGTAAATCATCTATCATCACTTAGATTGAGATTTAATATCATATTAAATGATAGGTAAAATTAACTAAGTCATTTAATTTCACTTTTTTCATTTGATAAATTATTTAGCGTCACTTGGACTGAGATTTAATGTCATATTAAATAATATGTAAAATTAAAGAAGTCATTTAATTTCACATTTTTTATTTGATAAATTATCTAACGTCACTTAAATTGAAATTTAATATTATACTAAATGATAGATAAAATTAAATAAATCATTTAATTTCACATTTTGACCTATCATCTAACTTTATTTAGATTGTGATCCTAACCCAACTTTATGTACTCACTCATTTAACATAATTATAAAAATGAGCTATCTCTTTCATTGGCAGAAAATTCAAAAGACGAAGCTCAACGTACCCTCTTCATCTTTCTTCATTGTATATTGGATTTCTCTCCATCTTTCTTTCTCGTATGTTCCCTCTGTACATCGGATTTTTAATCTGTTAATTATGTGAGTCACTGTTTACATTGATGCTTTTGTTCGTTGATTGGATGTTGCGAATTGCCATTCCAAATATCGACCTTTTGTCCTTTTACGGGGACATCCTGGGCTCTGTCCTTTTTATCTTTTTCGGATTTTTTCTGTTCAATCGCATGAATGATTAACCCACATAGTGAAAGAAAATCAAGAAAATGGTTTTCCCATCAGTAATTATGGAAGCAAAGCATGGAATGTACATGGGGTCTTCAGTTTTATGAACAATTTCTTAATTTTTTATGTTTTTAATTCATGTAGGTTTTAATTGTTATAATTCAAGAATTGATTTTTTTTCTTTATATGCGTGGTTAATTAGAGTAGGGATTTTTGATCGGTGCATGGTGGATCTCGAAGTTTTTGGGTTTTCTTTAGATCCTTTCTAATTTTTGTGTTTTGTCCTTTCTCTTTGTCTTCTGTTCTCGTCGTCGGAGTGGGGTGTAATACTGCAATTTACTTAACTTTTTGGGTCAAAATTTAGGTTTCTCAGGATATGTAATTATGATCATCTTTTTACACGACAAAATTAGTTTAAATTGTCACCATTCTTATTTTTTCTACTGATCATGGGATATTTTTCATTTTTCTATGTAGTGGAAGCAGAGTTACAGAACTTTCCATCTAAATTATAGGAGAGGATTGAATTGGCCATTGACGTCCAAGACTTGGACCTTTTAGTTAATTCCTTTATTGATAGAGAATAACATATTTCTCAAATGCTGAGCTTTACTAGGGCAAGAACTCAGCAGAGATCTAATAGATCTATGTCTTTAGGAGGTGAGATATTTTAAGGTCACGGAATTGTTTAGTATGTACGTATTTGCTGTTAATCTGCTTGATGTATGGTAAGTTTTTAATATTAGTAGTAATTACCTAGCTGTTCCTTAACCTATTATTTTCTCCTATTTGCAGGCATGGATTATGCCGACCCGAAGAAGAAGAGCAATATACTAGGAAAAATTCTAATGGCTGCTACCCTCACAGCAATGTGTATTCTTATGCTCAAGCAATCCCCAAATTTTAATTCCCCTAGCCAAGTAACTCTCTAGTCCCTTATCATTTTCAGTGCTTGGTTTTGTTGTTAAGCTTTCTGAGAAAGAAAAAAAGATTGAATTACCTGTTCCTTAAAATTGTTATCACTATGCGTTGTTTGAAAAAACATCGAGGCTTACGCATCGAATCCCACCTCTCATGAGGCTATCATAAAATGCCTCAAAACCAGCACCTTGAATGCCATTTGTGAGGCTTATGCCTCAATTTGCTAAGGCTAATGCCTCAAGCACGAGCCTTACGCCAACTAAGGTGTTTGCCCCTATTTTCAAACATTTAATTGTCGACGGTAGCTTTTTGAGTTATTTCTTTATAAGTTGATAACTAAAATATTTTTCGCACTCTTTTATTTTGTTTTTTCTACCTACATGGAAGAAAATGAGGAGGAGAATATACCAGTGCACTTAGAGGATGATGACAAAAAATGAAAAGAAACGTGTAATGAGGATGCAGATGTTAATGACTCCCTTGACGATAATATTAGTAGTGAAGATATATGAAATTCTTGAGTTGTCTCCATTTTTAGTAATAAATTAAATTTTGTTGCACAAGACGACGGAAACAAATTTAGATAGCCCTATGTGGCTTCTAGATCTACTTGTTATTGTATTTGAGAACTTATTATTTTCTATGTTCTTGATCTATTTTAACTTTGTTTGCAACTTAGACTTTTGATTTTGTTGGTTATTGACCTCGGATTTTGTACCTCTAGTGTGGCCAACAGATCCCAAGGTTTCTCATGTCCACACAAGCTTGATTTTTGCACACTTTGACAAACCGTTAGCCATACGTGGCTTTCTGGGGGGTAAAGTTGGTTGTGCGCACTCTGATGATTAAGTCAATTGTAGTAGTATATATTGGTGTGGGAGGTGTTTTAGACGCGAGCCTCCAATATAAAAAGGCGGTTGGCTTTGTGGCATTTTGTGATAATAATAGTGAGGATAGCAGAGTTGTAGTTTGAGAGTCTGAACTTGTATTACCTTTGGAATGTCACTTTATGTGAGATTTTATAATAGAATAGGATCAATGTCGATTGTAAAATGAAAGGATACGTGGCCTCATCTGTGCGGCTAAGACCTCTTGTTAAAGCTATCAATTAATCATAAGTATTGAATGCTAATACCATTTTGTTGCCCATAAATCTGACACATGACTTAGTAATGACCTGATTTGCTGGATAGGGAGGTGGTAGCAGTGAATTGTCACGTTAATCACGTACCAAGGATTGCATAGAAGATATCTCGCTAGGCCCCCTTATAGCCTCTCTCGCATGAGGGTTCGGTTCTTCATATAGGGACGACTCAGTCAAATGAGTTCGGCATCCCATATAGGTTCAGCCAACTGTCTTTTAGGCAGGGTGACGTGGAGTTCACGCACAGGTTTGCCTGCCACGTAGGAGACGAAGCGTAAAAATAGTACCTGAAATCCATGTATGGTTATTCATATAATACATAGACTTTTGAGTTGAGAGGTAGCTGCTAGAGTGAGATGTTCGTTGTTTGATTTGAGTCATGTTGCGTTTTTGCAAAGAAAAATAGTGTAGAGCTCATTAATTTTATTATGGATTTTTAAATGGTTTATGATATGTTATGAGCATATTTTTGTATTTTAGTGTTCTATTGAATTCTTTTATCGTTTTATCTAGAAGCTTACGCCTTGCCTCATGGATAACAGATGCCTCAATGCTAAATTAAGCCTTTTCAAATGCAGTTACTATGTTTATTCCTCTTTACTTTCTACCTTTTCGAAGTGATTCACTGGGTTGCCTTGTTTTCGGTTTTTAGGGTTAATCTAAGACTTTGTAGTCGGCAATTCGGGGGAGTAACTTATGATTTCCTGTCAAGTGGTCAACTGACTTCTTATTCATTCACAATGCAGTTTCTTAACTATGTTAGGAAGCAACTGCGTTTTGAGCACATTGCCTGCCTGGTTGTAATGCATAATATTTTGCTTGTTGATAAAGGTGGTATATCATATAGATTTGGATGTAACTTGAAGCCCTTCACCGTTTAAGAATGGAATTCTTTTATGAATGTTCAAATCTTGAGCAAGTGAAAGTGTTATTGTGTTACCAAACCTAAAGGCTACATGTTCATTGTCCCAGCATGGTATATAATTAGACTTTGCTGCAAGCTTGTCTTCAGATTCAGTGCAGCATAGTAGAACTGAAGTGTGTTAAGATTAGACCTCGTTGTCATCCGGATAGAGACAAAAAGAATTGAATTTTAATTAATTTTGTTTGCACTTTTGAGAAATTAGATTAGATTTGAAGATATCTTTACAAATCTATCCCATTTCCTCAATGAGATTCAGCTTTATAGGAAAGAAATAGAAATAAATGGATCCATTTTTTTATCTTTGGCTCACTACTCATGCCAAATATTTGTCTCTTTTTTAAATTTAACATGACTCGTTTTTGTTTTCCCTCATGTCTTTGTGCAGTTCTCACATCATGAACCTGGTGTTGTTCATGTCTTAGTTACTGGGGGTGCTGGCTACATTGGTTCACATGCGACATTGCGACTTCTGAAGGACTCATATCGTGTGACAGTTGTGGTATGAATAGTTCATTTCTGTTATCATTACTGTCCATTACTTTAACATAGCACCTTGAAAAGAGACAGTATTGTCGTTTTACAGGATAATCTCTCAAGGGGAAATCTTGGTGCCATCAAGGTCCTGCAGCAGCTGTTTCCAGAACCTGGGAGACTTCAGTTTATATATGCTGACCTGGGTGATGCGAAAGCAGTATCCTCATTCAGCATTTGTTTTTATAATACTTTTTTCAAGTGCAAGTTAAATATGGATTTGGAATTGTTACCTTAATCAATATGTCAGGTGCATAAAATTTTTTCAGAAAATGCATTTGATGCCGTGATGCATTTTGCAGCCGTAGCATATGTTGGAGAAAGCACCCTCGATCCTCTCAAGTGAGTGCCTTTTGATCTTATAGTAGGCCTTTGTAAATAATAGTAGGTGCGACCATAAAAGATGCCTCAAGCAGGTTTTCCCCTGATCAACTGGTCTCATGAGTAGTAGCTTAGAGGTTGACACTAAATGAAAGTTATGCAATTTCAATTATGTCAACAACGTGGTTGTTTTAGTCTACCTCACTATTTTAGTATCACTAATGCAAAAAATTTATTTTCTTTGCATTCAAACATAAGAATATAGTTAAATGTTGGATGCATTTGAAGTTTCGTCCTGAGTTGGGGCATGTAGTTACTAATGGTTGATGCTAAGCTCATTCTTGAATCCCTCCATCCCATACTCCAGCAAACGGGCACAGGTGTTTCTTTGTGTAGGCCAGTAGCCATTGCACTTTCTTGGCTTTTTTTATTTGAAATATTGTATGTTTAAACTTTACAAAAGTGATAAATGTAAAGTTGTAAAGTTATATGGTCTAATTTTAATCTAGTTTGAGCCATTCTGAGTCATAAAAATTGCAGTTCCTGTTAAATTATTATTATTATTATTTTTTTATTATTTTTTTAATGATAATCGTGTTTTTGATGCAGGTATTATCACAATATTACATCAAATACTCTTGTTGTATTAGAAGCTATGGCGGCCCATGGAGTGAAGACTTTGATATATTCTAGTACATGTGCAACATATGGGGAGCCAGAAAAAATGCCAATTACAGAAGTAACTCCCCAGGTGAGGGTTATGAAGGGCAATAGTTGCTTAAATGTTTAAACTTTAATTTCAGTATAATAAGTAACTTCTTGCTGTGACTATTTGTTGGTTTGGAGTTTTCTTACTGAACAGCTTACCGTATTTTGCATTGTGCAGCTTCCAATAAATCCATATGGAAAAGCCAAGAAAATGGCAGAGGATATAATTCTTGACTTCCATAAGAATTCAGACATGGCTGTCATGATTTTAAGGTACAAGCTAATATGCATAGTTGCTTAAATGTTTAAACTTTAATTTCAGTATAATAAGTAACTTCTTGCTGTGACTATTTGTTGGTTTGGAGTTTTCTTACTGAACAGCTTACCGTATTTTGCATTGTGCAGCTTCCAATAAATCCATATGGAAAAGCCAAGAAAATGGCAGAGGATATAATTCTTGACTTCCATAAGAATTCAGACATGGCTGTCATGATTTTAAGGTACAAGCTAATATGCATGATTTTAAGGTACAAGCTAATATGTATTAGACATTTTCCATTTTACAAGAATGTATGAGCTTCCAATGTTTGGTCCAAATTAAGTTTCTCTTATAGAGTTGATCTGTGTTAATAGTTGCCCAAAACGAGTACGTTGCTTTTCTTCATCAGCAAGTTAATTAACTGAAATTATAGTAAAAATTTTCTGTATTGTATTCACAGTTTCTTGGATCTCTAAAATCTAGGTATTGTATGTTATTAAGTGATTGAGGCGACAGAACCTGATATTATTTCATCTGTCATTTCTTTAAGTTTTGTTTCCACTTAATTAGTGTGTGTTGAAGTGGTATATTCATCCAGTCATGATGATTTACTTGAATAAATTTGGACTGTCAAACTCCTAATAGAGTTAACAATAGGCGAAAAGTTACAACTATCAATAGTAATACTTTCTTCAGTTCATTGTTAAACTCTGTTGCCCCTCTGACCTTTCCAGATTGAAAATATCATTATATTTCTTTTGCCAAGTATGGGCTCTACCTTTCCTACTTTATTTATTAAACTATTTCTTTTACTTTCTTTATTCAATTTTATATTCAGATACTTCAATGTGATTGGTTCCGACCCTGAGGGAAGACTAGGAGAAGCTCCCCGTCCGGAACTGCGCGAGCATGGAAGAATATCTGGTGCTTGTTTTGATGCGGCACGTGGCATCATCTCTGGGCTTAAGGTCTGCGTATCTTTACTCTTCAGATTTAACACCTGCTATACTTTTGCTCATAACACCTTCGAACAGGAAATTTATTTATAGCTCGAGAACTGATAATATGTGCTTGACAAACAATTATATCTGTACTTCTGTTGTGGTGCAGGTTAGAGGAACGGATTATAAGACTCCGGACGGCACATGCATACGGGATTATATTGATGTCACCGATCTTGTTGATGCTCATGTGAAAGCTCTGGAAAAGGCAAAACCACGGCATGTTGGCATATACAACGTTGGTACAGGAAGAGGTAACTTATTTCTCCAAATGCTTGTTTCCGATTGCGAAAGACTATTGTTATTGAAACTTTGTTCTTATCCCTATTATCAGGTCGATCTGTCAATGAGTTTGTGGAGGCTTGTAAGAAGGCAACTGGGGTGCCCATTAAAGTCGACTTTCTTCCACGTAGGCCTGGTGATTATGCAGAAGTATACAGTGATCCGACCAAGATCAGGGACGAGTTGAACTGGACAGCAAAACATACCGATCTTCAAAAGAGTTTGCAGATCGCTTGGAGATGGCAGAAGGCACATCTCAATGGGTACGGAACTCCTCAGGTGTCGTCAGCATAGATGTTTATGCAGTCAGCGTTCATTGTGGACGACTAACATAGAACCCCATTTTACTGCCTATTTTTGCCCAGTTCTATTAGCACCTAGGGGAGGAGATTGAGGGCAGGGGATTTTATGTTTATTCTTTAAACTATCTATATTCAAGTTTAACCATATGGCTCTTAGAGTTCGTAGGAAGCAGCCAGTAATATATGTATTCGACACATATATGTAGGCAATATTAGTTGCTAATGAGGTATTATTGATTTGTTATTGTTTCCTCTAATTTTTTCCAAGAAAGTTTGAATCAGGAGATGCTGATACAGGGCAAGCCTACTATCTTCTCACTCTATATTAATTTCATTTGTTTGTTGGGACATTTTAGGTGCAAAATCTGTCAGCAGATTGCACAGAATTGGCAATAATTTAACTTAAAAATACGGATTAATCTTCTTGGACAAGCTCCTGTCCAAACAGGCAAAGAGAAAACCTGTTGTTCAATTTATTACACTTTAACATGTGTTAAATTTCTCATAGGTTCCCAACCTTGATAAGATTGTCCTAAATCACTTTCATAATTATTAATCATGTTGTCAACCTTTGAACATTATGTGGGAAAATGCCCATTTAGACATTGAGGCTGTAGTTGGTTTAGTTTTGTGTTTTCCATTTTCAGTTTTAAACAATTTTTAGTTTTCTTTGAAAACACGCGTTTGGGCATTTTTCGTGTTTTAGACATTGATAACTAAAAACGTTCAAAACGATGAAAAACCATTTTATATTTTCAATTATAAATTTTACCTCGTTTTCAAAAACAATGAACCAAACGCGTTTTTCGCATTTTCGAAAACGAAAAACGGAAAACAACTTGAAAACGCCAAACTAACTGCAGCCTAAATGTTCACATGTTATGCATGTGATGTGTTACTAAAATTCTTACAATTAAAATGCACAACATTTTAATTGTAACGAGGATCATTAACTTTTATTCATTTTCAGGTTGAAGTCTTTAACCTTTTTCCATCACATCGTTAATCTTAATCTTTCATAAATTAGAACATAGTGTCCCTATGATAGTTTTCACTCAAAAATTTGATTAGCGCGTTACAGTGAGGGGACAAATATTTAATCATATTTTTTTATATATATTTTTGGTTTATTTAAAATTATGAGAGATAAATAAGTCTTTTTAGTTTTCTTCACTCTTAACAAAATCATTAAATAATGTTGTTATCAATGACAAAAATGTGCTAAGTTGAGAATGGGAATGCAATAAAAAAAATTAGGGGCATAAGCATGACATTGAATAAACTGTTTGAGCTCCATTTTTATTGGAGAATTTGTTTTGAAATATTGATTTTTGGGAGAATGTATGGTTAAAAAATAGAAAAATAATTTGAATTTACTTGTAAAATTATTTTATAGAAGAATGTATAGTTGAAAAAAAAAGAGTTCTGAGAAAATTATAGCTCAATTAGGGCTAAAATAACGTGGTGTTTTTATATTTAGCCCTTGTTTGATCCCCATTTTGAGGGAAAAATAAATTTTTTGAATATTGTATTGATGGAAAATGTGGTTAAAAAATAACGAAAAATTTTGGATTTGCGTGTAATATTATTTTATTGAAAAATGTGTGGTTAAAATGATATCAAATTATTGTTTAAAAATATATTTTTTTAAAAAGAATGTGACTTAAACAAGGGCTTAATCATTTCAAAAACTGATGAAGATTGAATATTGATAATTTTAATTTAATTCAAGCAATTTTATCTATATATTGTATTTTAATTTATAATTAGTTTAATCTTTAATTAGTATTGAGACTCTTAATTTTCATAATTTTAATTAAATTAAAATTTTATTTTCATTTAGAGATAGTCGTTATCTTTAATTTTTATCATTATCTAAAATTGATCATTATCTATGAGTTTAGTTTTCAAATTTTAAATTAAATTGAAATATTAATAGTTGAAATTTTATCCAATTTTCTTAAATGCTCGTATTTGATATATATTTATATATATATTTTTAATATTGAATATTGTCAACAAATTTTCGTTTTCTATCAAAATCGTCTTCCCCATCGAAGAAAGGTCTATTGAAATGGTTAAGGCAAGTCAGTCTGAAATTTCAAGAATAGAATCTGAATTTGTTTCATCTGATTGCTGCTATGTCACAGAATAATAAAGATATCAGGAAAACTCAGTAGTAATTCACAGAAATACCAATAGTACACAACCAATATTTTCTTTCTTGGGAAATATACCAAAGACATCTTCATCCAGTAAAAATTCATATAATGTTGCATCACTCTACAATATGTAGACATAATCCCGTTGGTACTTTTAAGATAAATCGACTTAGATGTAGGTTTAGGTAAGATCATCTTCATCCAAGGGTTCTTCTTGATCCTTTGTGTCCATCTTAAATGCACTGACATCACCTGTAGGAAGCTTCCTTGCAAGCTTGACGATCTGCATAAAACTTACTTTTAGCTAAATTGTTCCATTATCAATATGAGCATTGACGATAATGAAATAAGTAAAAGGATAAAACGAAAAACGAATAAAATTTTTCATTTGTCAATTTGTTTTGAGTTGGTTAAACCTTAATAATATGGGCAATTTTAGAGTCGAGAAGTGTTTCCATATGACATTTCTCCATGAGATGTACAAAGAATGGGAAGTGCTTCAATGCTACTGTATACATCCCTAAGTAAGGTCGTGTTTCGCATGGCTTTTGAAAGTCAAAAGGAGTTTTTGAGATGTAAAAGCAGCTTTTGAACCCGTTTGACTAATTTTATGAAAGTGATTTTAGAAGAAGTTGGTCTAATGTGGCTATCTCTAAAAGCACTTTTAAAATAAGAAGTTCTTTTAAAAATTAGTTTTCAAACAAAAATTAAGGTATCTTCATCCAAAAACTTTTCTACAAGAAGCAAAAGCAAAAACAATAGCTTTGTCAAACGGGCCCTAAATAGATGCAGTAACTCCTTGAACAATCATTAATTGCATAATTTTTGAATTATGAAAATATAAAGTCTGCAACTAATAACCCACTAACAACTCCCAACAGATTTAAACCCTGAAGCAATACTTGCTTATGTTCACCACAAAAGTTCATTTCATTTTCCAGAGCGAAAAAATGGTGATCTGAATCCAATATGATAATAGACAATGTTTAAATGTCTTGGAACATTTACCACGTGATCAAGATTGGAGACAATGCTTGATTGAGCAGCACGTTTGATTTCTTCAACATCACCTTCAGTGTATGCAGAAAGGAGTCTACTGGCGGCACGGTTTTGATCGCTGTTCAAGAAAGCTTCAACCCTGCCAAGAAGCAAAGAGGGAAAAAAATTGCCATAATTAGCGAATAAAAGTAAGGGTAAATTTCCTAAAATGAATATGACGAGAAAACAAATTAATAGCAAGACAGTTGGATTTAACGAAAAGTACACGAATTATGTCCTATAATTTTAAAAAAACACAAGCTTATTCAAGCATCAAAGAAATCATTAGTCAAGGACAGGGGAAGAAATTCCTCAATCCTCACCTTTCATGCAATGCAAAATACAGAAGACCAAGACAGTGGCCAAACACTGATAAAAAGATATCTGTATTAGACGTTCGACATCTTTCCCATTCAGTGATTACTTTTGGGACTTTGACCCTCCATAAATGAAAAGGGAAACTACTCTGGAAGCCCCTAAATTTTTCCAAACATGATTTCATTCCTTCAACTTCGTTTCAATCCAATTTAGCCCTACAGTTATAAATTGTCACATCACATGGGCCATGGAGGGGTGAAAATAGCGAATTCTGGTTTAAAAAGTTAAAACAAAGTAATAGTAAGAGAATGGAAAGGGGGGATTGCCCCTTTGTCCCTTTCATCTCATTCCGTTTAGAAACATCATTTCACATTATTTAGGCCCATCTAGAGAAAGTCCACATATCTTTTGTTCCTAGAATGGAACCAATTTTTTCTTCAGGTCCAAAATAATACCATTTCTTCACTTTTTTCACCCATCAAGATGTAGCCATGAGCATGCGTGTGTGGATAATACCAAGCCATACCATTTAGTACTTTTCATTCGAATCCAGTAATGGGAGGCATCATTTAAGAATGCCAACTGAGTAAAACGCAAAAGCCACAAAAAGCTCAACTTACTGACAACAATCGTTGTAACACTTCTCTGCTTGCTGGAAGTCGTGAGCATAAAGATGCACAATGATGGCACTGAGATAAGCCTACATCCAAAAGAGGTTAAGCTAATAATTCCAGGACACGAAAAGGACTTCTGGACTTCAAATATATCTGCGTTTCCCACAATTGTGTTTTGTTTCAGAAATACACAATCTTCTAATGTATTACGATTACAATGTTTTGAGTGCATAAAAAAGCATCTTCAATTATTGATCCGTCAAGATATCAATCAATAAACGTTTTGTGTATTTTTCGGCGTATTGATTGTCCGCAATCTTAATTTACTGATTTTCAAGGCAGTATGATCTATTCAGAGGTGACTACTGTATTCCCCAAACCACCTAAATTTTATTTCCTTAATGCTTAAATCAAAAAAGCTATTGTAGTCGCTTCATAAAAAATTGAAATTTTTGGGGGAAAGAAAGAGAATATCAGGGAATAAATTTAAATCTGTGCTGTGATTACCCCTCAAATAATAGATTAGACACATTAAAGCCTATTCAATGTAATTATCTTACTGTTGTATTCATCAATACACAAAAGGGAATAATGCAAACATAGTTTTAAAACCAATATTTCACACTAACTATAGGAAGGGAAATTGCATCAAGAAAGGCTCTGAATAGATGGAAACCAAACTAACAAGCTTTCACACCTTGCATTGGCTATGGGTAGCATTGCATTTATCAGCTGCTAAGGCCAATCTTAAAAGAAAAGTTGCAGCATCTGCATACCTGTATAGGTAGCAAAACCAGTAAGACATCAAAACTTTCTTTACTAGAAACAGGAATGATACACACATTGGCATGAGTTTCCATCCAGGTGTGTATAAACCAATAAATGAATGATAAGAATAATACCCCATGTCAAATCCACAAGCTGTTAATGGGATAACTAATTGCAACGTATTTTAAGTTCGAGAATGTCTAGGATACAATCATGGACAGTAAATTTATTTTTTAAGAAACTATACCTTTCCTCAGAAACACTAGTGAAAACCAAAAAGGATAAATGTAAATTCACAAGAATATGAAATTCTTGAGTTGTCTCCATTTTTAGTAATAAATTAAATTTTGTTGCACAAGACGACGGAAACAAATTTAGATAGCCCTATGTGGCTTCTAGATCTACTTGTTATTGTATTTGAGAACTTATTATTTTCTATGTTCTTGATCTATTTTAACTTTGTTTGCAACTTAGACTTTTGATTTTGTTGGTTATTGACCTCGGATTTTGTACCTCTAGTGTGGCCAACAGATCCCAAGGTTTCTCATGTCCACACAAGCTTGATTTTTGCACACTTTGACAAACCGTTAGCCATACGTGGCTTTCTGGGGGGTAAAGTTGGTTGTGCGCACTCTGATGATTAAGTCAATTGTAGTAGTATATATTGGTGTGGGAGGTGTTTTAGACGCGAGCCTCCAATATAAAAAGGCGGTTGGCTTTGTGGCATTTTGTGATAATAATAGTGAGGATAGCAGAGTTGTAGTTTGAGAGTCTGAACTTGTATTACCTTTGGAATGTCACTTTATGTGAGATTTTATAATAGAATAGGATCAATGTCGATTGTAAAATGAAAGGATACGTGGCCTCATCTGTGCGGCTAAGACCTCTTGTTAAAGCTATCAATTAATCATAAGTATTGAATGCTAATACCATTTTGTTGCCCATAAATCTGACACATGACTTAGTAATGACCTGATTTGCTGGATAGGGAGGTGGTAGCAGTGAATTGTCACGTTAATCACGTACCAAGGATTGCATAGAAGATATCTCGCTAGGCCCCCTTATAGCCTCTCTCGCATGAGGGTTCGGTTCTTCATATAGGGACGACTCAGTCAAATGAGTTTGGCATCCCATATATGTTCAGCCAACTGTCTTTTAGGCAGGGTGACGTGGAGTTCACGCACAGGTTTGCCTGCCACGTAGGAGACGAAGCGTAAAAATAGTACCTGAAATCCATGTATGGTTATTCATATAATACATAGACTTTTGAGTTGAGAGGTAGCTGCTAGAGTGAGATGTTCGTTGTTTGATTTGAGTCATGTTGCGTTTTTGCAAAGAAAAATAGTGTAGAGCTCATTAATTTTATTATGGATTTTTAAATGGTTTATGATATGTTATGAGCATATTTTTGTATTTTAGTGTTCTATTGAATTCTTTTATCGTTTTATCTAGAAGCTTACGCCTTGCCTCATGGATAACAGATGCCTCAATGCTAAATTAAGCCTTTTCAAATGCAGTTACTATGTTTATTCCTCTTTACTTTCTACCTTTTCGAAGTGATTCACTGGGTTGCCTTGTTTTCGGTTTTTAGGGTTAATCTAAGACTTTGTAGTCGGCAATTCGGGGGAGTAACTTATGATTTCCTGTCAAGTGGTCAACTGACTTCTTATTCATTCACAATGCAGTTTCTTAACTATGTTAGGAAGCAACTGCGTTTTGAGCACATTGCCTGCCTGGTTGTAATGCATAATATTTTGCTTGTTGATAAAGGTGGTATATCATATAGATTTGGATGTAACTTGAAGCCCTTCACCGTTTAAGAATGGAATTCTTTTATGAATGTTCAAATCTTGAGCAAGTGAAAGTGTTATTGTGTTACCAAACCTAAAGGCTACATGTTCAT